AAGCGATATCGGTTGACGTGGCCAGCGACGCGTTTCTATCACGCCCGTAATATTTTTTGTACACGATTCAGCGAGTACAGCCCATTGGGATTTTATGTTGACACTAGTGTGTAGTTTACTTTATAAACTATACTAAATAGTTATTATAAAATATGAAAAAAAAACTACGAAATAAATTACTATATAGTTTACACTATTAACTGTAAATAGATGTAATTAATATAACAAGATAAAAGCAACAAATATAAATAAATAAAATTTACATCCAATTTTATTTATTTATTTGTAGTTTGATAGATTTTTGTTTATATTTATTAAACGTATTTGTATAACACATGGTACATGTAGATTAGTATTTTACTTATTGTGATTTGGTGGAAACTTCGCAAAACTGAGAAAGCGATATCGGTTGACTTGGTTTTTGTCAAGTCCGTAATATTTTTTTATCCATGATTCAGCGCCTACTGAGATTTTATGTTGACACTAATGTATAGTTTACTTTATAAACCATATTAAATAGCGGTTGTAAAACGAGACAAAATAAATAAAAAAGTAGTTGTATGGTTTGCTTAATTTTTGTTTCGTATAACATAGGGGATGTGTTTCTTAAAGACCGTGATTTCTACGTGATATAACTAAAAAAAAATGTATTAATTTAAATTTTCTACTAATACCCCGCTAATATCAAACCAAATTAATTAGTTCGCTTGCGATAGGTTTGTCCTTTGTCATAACAATAATTCTAGATCAATTACACCGCGCCATCTAGTTCCAAGCTAAGCAAAAATGAGAAAGCGGTACACCTTTGAGTGTTTTTATACTTTATTCATTAATTAGTATAAATCACGGTACCGTCATCATGATTTTTACTAATTATACGAATTTATTCATTAACTTCCTTAAATAATTAGCGAAATATAAAGCTAATACCTCTGATTACCTTATGTAGGATTACAGTCGTGAAGTATGGTATGTGGTCAACTGACTATTATCGAGTATAGTTAAATTTTGGAATTTAGTGGAAACTTCAGAAATCTGATAAAAGTGATAATGATTGTCGTTTTTATCACGCTCGTAATATTTTTTGTCCATGTTTCAGAGCGTACAGCCCACTGGGATTTTATGTTGACACTTAAATACAGACATATAATAATATATATATAGTTTCATTGCCTGTTGTTCACATTTATTAAACTATATTGGTATAAATTGTAACACTTTACTGAACCGTAAAAAACAATATGAAAGGTATCCTTTCATATCCTTTCATTTGCTCTATTAATTATGGTAAATTAAGTTTAATTATATGTACATTTTAAATGCTCTTTTTTTTCGTTTGTTGTTTATATTGTATTTTTTACATTGCACTGAATAAATATTTTTCTTTCTTTCTTTCTTCTTCTTCTTTCTTTTAATAAATATATTGTATGGCGAAATTATTCCAAACGAAGATTAGTGTATATTAAGAATCGTTGTGACCTAGGGTCTTTAGATTTATACTCAAAAGGTTTTCAAAGTTCAAACCTGACCGAAACTAAAAAACTTTCAGAGTAAATTAAAAAAAGTAGTTTTAGTATATAATTAACAATCTCAGTATTTATTATAATAAATTTAATTATAATAAATACCGTTCCCACGAAATATTTCTGCAACGAATTAATAATTAGACCATTTTTTATAAAAAATATCATTTTAATGATACATATTAAAACCCTTAACTTTATGGTACATTCCCATACTATTCATGCAAAAACATTATATTATTGAATTGTATCAATCCTAAGACATATAGGAAATGATTAATCAAACATAACTGCATATAATTTTAGTATAATATTAAAATATTTTATAATCCATCATTTCTCAAAAAATCCATTCATAAAACCGCTAAAAGGTATCATAAATGGAATAAGAATAAGACTTCAAATAGAACAACGGAATAGTGAAACACTATTCAAACGAAAATAAACCTTACGACCGCGATAAAAAATTCAAATTACGTTATAACGTAATAGGGTTGTCATTTGCATAGTTTTGCAACGCCACAGGCGTCGAAAACTTCTATGAGCGGACACTTTAAAGTTTCAAGGGGTGACAATCTTGCGCTGTCTAAGAAATTCATTTTGAATTCTAAACTAAAGGGTTAAAGATTATAATAAATTTATTCCATTTTATTCTGAGCAGTTTAGCGGTAATGATGCGTTCGGAATCTCTAAACAGGTTTTGTCTATTTAGTAAACGATGCGCGATTTCTTGTCTTTCATTATGTTTATTATCTACGTGCTACAGGCTCCGTAGCCCATATGTAAATCACTGCTTACGTGTGAGAAAAAAGTTACTCTCGTTATCCTCGAGCATATATTTGGATACGCTTAAAAATGAAGAGTAATTTTTCTAAATTTAATTTAAATGTGTGATGTGACGTTGCTTTTTTAACTGTCTTAAAAGATATCTTGATTGTGACGACACCAAATTTTGATTTGTGACGTGATGTTCCAATTTTTTTAACCAACTTTAAAAAGTTACAAGTTGCTACCAATTCAAGTATTTTCTTTATATAAATAATAGTCTTACTTACCAACTGTATACTGATTTTAATAACTTTAGTAATTTTCATATATAAGGACCTTTTCACTTTCTGGACTGTTGATATTTCGATATAATTAATGTATTACAGACATATAGGCATGAGCAATTAACATACAGTAATATATGCTTTGTTAGTAGAAATGTAAATTCTTTTTAATATGTGTATTAATTATATTAAATTCCGGAATAATTATTCATATATTAAATACAGATATTTACAGATATACCTTGGCAGTCTAGTATTTTAGTACCGCCTTTGATCCGATGGTCGCGGGTTCGATTCCTAACACAGTACAAATATTTTTATGCATGAGTACAATAACATATCTATCAGTCGTCTAGTATCCTATAACACAAGATTTGCTTAGCTTGGGACTAGATGAAGCTGTAATTGTCGTAAGTTATTACTATTACAGTCATTATTAAAATAAAACAAGATATTAAAAATACAGTAGATCCCAATCGTTCTCATAAAATCAACTCGAAAACAGTTTTCTCAAGTAAACATTCCACTAACTGCGTACAGGACGTAACATTAGCATATTTCCATCAAAGGTACGGGATAACAGTTAATTATAACTGTTAGAAGCAATTAAACGCAGGCCCGCTAACAAAAAGCTATACTTGTTACTTTAAGCGCTAATGTGGTATGAGAGAATTTTTACTACATCCAGTATATTAAACATTACGATTGTGAAGATTTCTATATTATTTATATGTTTAAAATATCGATTTATTTAATATATTTGGAATGGCAAACAAGATGTCCTACATGAAGCATCACGTTATCATGTGACGTCATTGATAACAATCACGTTGTCATTACGGAGGACTTTGTCATGGATCCTGTAATTTCACTACCTAATTTGTATTCTACAGCCGAAACAGATTACAGGAAAAATTGCTTGCCGGTTTGAAATATAGAAATAGAAATAATCTTTATCAAAACTCAATACAAGCACTTTTAAATACGTCATATTTTTTTTATTCTACCACTCATTCGGAACGCAGACTCATCACAAGAAGAACATAAATAGAAATAATCTTTATTCAAACAAACTCAATATAAGAACTTTTAAATAGTCATATTTTTTTATTCTACCACTCATTCCGAACGCAGACTCATCACAGAAGAACGAGCAAGAAACTTGTGTGTTGCTCTTTTAAATAGATTTTCTTTTTAAAACAAATAATTACACAATAACAATTAAGAGGCATGCGATAATGAATATAGAAACTACTACGTACTCATTCTTAGCGGATGCCTACATCGTAACATCTACCTACATGCCAAATTTCAGCCCGATCCGTCCAGTGGTTTGGGCTGTGCGTTGATAGATCACTAAGTCAGTCAACTTTGCGTTTTATATATATAGATTTATTTTGTATCGTATAGCGGATTTGCATATAGTTTAGAAAGAAGAAAAGAAAAGAAAGAAATTGTTTATTTGGTACTCTGAAAATAATGTTTAAAATTAAATTTACATTTTATATAAATAATTAGAGTACCAACTAGGTCTCCGCTCAGCATATGTCGTGACGGGGTGCCACGACGCTGGTTTTCAGCGGACACCTTATATACAATAAATATAATAAAATAATAATAATAATACACATACATACATAAATCCAGGCACAGGACAACACAAAGCAAACATTTACGACATACTACCATATATAAATAAAAATCAAACATAAACTACACACTGAAAACATAAAATAAACATAAACATAAATTTTAGTATGTCAAATATCGCACATTTAAGGTTGTTTGGAAGTTCAATTAAAAAAATATCCGAACATCCTTAGAAAATGTGTAATAAATAAATAACACACTATTTGGTCAGAGGTACCAGTCTCTACGGAGGCGTGGGTTTGAATCCCGCCGCTGTCACCGTAATACAGTTTGTAATTTTATTATTGCCCAATTTTTATATTTACTTACTTTGTTAATAGACAACAGTTTTGGATATATTTATATCCTATCGTAGTCGTTGATTTTTTATTGTAATAATTCACTGCTAAAGACTACAACAGAACAGTAGAGAGAGTGGACTTAGCCCCTTATGAGTTGTAGACCGCTTTGTCTCGATCTTGATTAATACTTCTTAATTTTATTATAAGCAGCAATTGTAAAAGCATATTATTTAATACAAATAAAGATTATTATTATATACTATAAAATTCTTCAATTTTTTTAAATGTAAATAAAGTTTTTTTTTATACTACGTTGATGGCAAATAAGTATACGGGCCATCAGATGTTGAATGTTTACCGTAGCCTATGGATGCCTGAACGTGCGCGTTGCTGACCCTTAAGAAACCTTAGTACAGCCTTCTTGAATACCCATATCTCGTAAGAAAATGTTAATAAATTACTTTTAGATAATAAATAAATAAATATACACTTACATCGACACCGCCATTATTCCATGGTGGCAACGCGTAGTGGGAGGGGTCATGATGCCCCCCTCCCATATGCTCTGCCATAACCGACATCCAATGCACCAGGCCCTGGGCCCCGCCACCACCTGAGGTGCCTGGTAGAACAAATTACTCATTAGAAAACTCTACATTATTGTAAGTACATAAAGATACACATATGTACACATAAGAATAGAAAAAAACACATTTTAAGTAATAGTTTTTTCAATTACAAAGATAGTTCGAAAAAGACATGACAGATAACAATAAAAATAATAATAACATCCATGAACAATCCACATAGCGCCATCTAGTACTAAAATAATTCCAGCCTGTTTTATGGGTACTAAACAACTTATATAAATACTTAAATACATTTTAAGTTTTGTAAATACCTACAATAATAAACATCGAAAATCCCATATCTTAACAGCTAAGGAATAATCATGCAAATAAAAAATACAAATAAAAAATATTCAGGCAAATAAGTGATCTGTCTATCTATCTATCCAAAAAAAATGTTATTGAAAATAAGTTATCTATCTAACGTCAGTTAAGGCCGGATAGCGCCCCCTAGTTTACAAAATATTTCCCAATACAATTATTGTCTTTATTAAGAGGTATAAATATCTTGTTAGTTTTTAATAACGAAGTCACGTATTCTTATAAATAGTCCAATTAGAATAAAAAAAGGAAGAAATTAGTATAAGACTAAAATGTCTAATGAGTCCGATTGCAGAGCAAACTATAGGAAATAGCAGCTACTTATTAGCATTTTTCTATAGCATGTTATATTGTAAGTATAATTCGTAAATCACGGGATCTTACCGCGTTTTATTTTTGTCGAGTTCCCGATATTTCCGGCCATGATCACGGGTAAACTGAAGAACAGCAGGTAGAAGGTAAATAAATCTTTTATGGGCAGACATATTCGTCTACCTTCACACGTCTACGTTTGTACAAACGAACATATTCGTCTACCTTCACACGTTTGTACAAACGAAGACGTGTGAAGGTAGATGAACCGTTGAAACACTGCCGAAATATCGGGAACTCAACAAAAATAAAATGTGGTAAGATCCCGTGATTTACTAATTATACTTATAAATAATGACCGCGTCAAACTTAAAACAGTACATGTTATAATGATTTTATAATCATCTGATCATGCATTGGATCACATTGGATCTCAAGCTATCATGATTTTACAATACAAACACTTTTTATCGAATTAGGTGTTTTGTGTGAATTTTGCGGAAGTTCACTTCATTACTTAATGGATTTATATTGGTTTAATTCCTCTACCATTAGCATGTGTGAGAACACAAATATTCACTTATACGTGAAATATAATAAATTATATATATAAATCCATTAAGTAACAAACACTTTATTACGTCAATTCTGAAGAATTTGTAATTACTTTGCTAGTAGAAAATTAATTGTGGTCGGTGCAGTTTGTCCTCCACTGATCCCTATCAGACGTCATTTCTGCGTTTACTTTCCTTTTATACAATCCATCCATTTTTTCGATCGTCCTCATCCTTTCCATCCATCTCATGTTAAATCCTTTCTCTAAGACATGACCCCTTCCGCCGCGTAACATGCCCATACCAAATATTTTCCATTTATTTTAGAAATGGCGATGCAGCAGTACTTGATTTTTACTTTCAAATTATGCTCCATATTAATTGCCTAACTTTTTTCCACATGGAGTCGATGTGACTACCTTGAATAGGAAAAAGACCGAGAGGAGAAAGGCCACGTTCTCCTTCTTATGTTTATACCCTATTGCATGATAGTGGCGCCATCAACTTCGCGTGGTGTTACAAATTAGTCAAATTATATATATATTTTTTTAAGCTTTTTAATTTTAGGTTCTTAGTTGTACAATTAGGTTATGTAAATACTAGTAATAAAGTGAAATTATTATATATTCAAAGTAACACAAGTATTTTTTTTACCTCCCAATTATTAAACAAGATACTATTAACAAGTTAGCTTAATAGATGTGAATCCAATAAAGTAGTCTAGATTCATAATTAATAAAAAAATGATACAGTGTTTTGTACACAAACTCCTTGCATATTCTTATTTATTTTACTACCAATTTTAAATATACTTTCTTTATTATTTCTTTATAGAATTGTCGTTTTTGCCTTACTACTATTTGTAGTCGTATTTTCATTATAAGTATTTACCATTTTTTATCCATTGCTTGATTTCACGCATACAGTCCATTTATTCTATCGCCCACAAAGTGGATGGTATATCAAAATTTCTTACCAGTGGGGACGGCGGCTGGTTGCGCGGCCGGCTGCTCCTGCCCCCCGCCGCCGGCCACCCCCCCTCCACTCCACACAAACGCTGACGACGCACCCGCCTTCTGGAACAATACCAACAAACACTTAGAAACCTGTTGATGAAAGTTCGAAAGGATTATAAGAAACTCGGTGACACGATTCCATGTTGACATTGCTCATTGCCGAATTATGAAATTTCTATTTGGTGGTCTAGCGGTTTAGCACACTGCTACTTTACTTCCGATGGTCACGAGTTCGATTCCTCGCACGGAATGAAACGTTTCTATTCATAAATATAATTGATAGACAAGACCGATTGGTCTTGTTTTATGTATGTATATATATTATATCTGTATTTACAAAATAAATGTATCTAAGTATATATATCAGTTGTCTAGTACCCATAACACAAGCTCTGCTAAACTGGAGACTAGATGTCTCTTTGTGAATTGTCATTTACATATTGCCTAAACAAAATTAAAATTACCGGAAATCAAATTATTTTCTTTTAGACTAGTGCACATATATAAATAGAACAAATAAATTTAAATAGTAAAGTAAAACAATTATTTAAAAGTGGTACAAATTATTGCATAAAATATTTGTTAAATCATCATAAATGTAATTCGTGTAAATGATAAAGAAAGAAGAAAGAAAGAAAGAAAAATATTTTATTCAGTGCAATGTAAAAAATACAATATAAACAACAAACAGAAAAAAAAGAGCAAATAAAATGTAATAATTAAACTTAATTTACCATAATTAAAAAATAAACATAAAATAAACATTTTTTACATCATGATAATGGCAAATTAAGTATTCATGCCTAAAGTGTTGAAACAATTATGATAAATTCTTGGATCTATAATAAGACTGAACCTTGAAGAATAACAGGAATAATCTATTGTCATAAAAATAAACTTGAAGAGGATAATAAAAACATCATCATCAGTTTAATACATATAACTCCCACCAGAGCTAATGGGTTATATAGCAATGAATAGTACTATTCCCAAATGAATAAACTTAAAGATAAGAACTTGCTCTTGCCTGTATTTTCCAGTAATTTAATTACCTCATCTGGAGAATCAGTAGTTCCATCTCCAATATTCTCATCATCTGAGGTTTCTGTACCAAATCCATTTGAAAACAGCATACTCCTCGGATAGAGCGAGTAACAGTCTGTTATATTCCGCCTTCTCTTACCAAGACTGGCCAGAAAACTTTTATATAATTGCGTTGGAAGAAGAAATGGTGAACGACTTTGGAAGCCATCTTTGAAACTCAAATTCTGGTTTCGAAATGGATTCCCAAAATCAAAGTCAGGTACAAACTCTTTCTTAATGAAATCTGCTACTGGATGCAACGCCAGTGTGTTTTCTGTATAATCCAAAGCTGTATTCTCTGCATCATCATTGGGTCCATTATTCTCTAAATCGCTACTCTCAGAATTAGCATCGCTTGAATTATTATCATTCTGATCAATTTTTGTCTCGCTCCCTTCTGTGTAATCCTCAAATTCACGTTTCATTTGTAGATTCATTGGGTTTTTCATGTATGAATTGGAAAGCGTCACTGACATTTTTATTGGCACTTTTCTTTTACAAATATATTTTTTCACTATTATTAATACTACAGTTTATATAATCTCGAAATAAAAATAAATATTTCTTCGTATTGTATGTAGGTATTTTTAGGAACTATCGTTGGGTTAGGAGGTGTCTGGACCAAAACTGGTTAAAGTAAGCATTGATTAATTTTGAATTCAAAACATCTTAAGGCATTAACTTCACCCGCTTCGAAAAACGATTATCTTTTATTAGACATTTTAATTAAAATGATGATATTATAAGTTGTATACGCAGTCATAGAGGTTTTTAAAATTTTATGTCGACGTATATTTAAATTGTTTTTGTTTTTTACGAGTTTCAATACGAGACGAGTATATCATCATCACTGCTTAGTTTATCCCTATTATTGTGTAATCCATACATCCCATCATTTATAAAAAATAGATATTTTAATTGCAGTCTAGCTTCTAAATCCCAACACGAAACCAACAACTACACCAATGATGACCAAACAATGACCAAATATTATCACAGCTATCACACCTGAAATATATTTCTAGACTAGGCTGAATATTTTTGTCACATGACCTACATGCTACGTGAAAGTCGAGACTTGGCCGTGTATCGATTTCAATTTTACGTTCTCTTATTTTAGCGGCCTCACATTCTGATCTAAGTTTAAGTTCTACTTGGGGAAGATAAATTCTGCATGAACAATGTTGACTTTCTACAAAATAATCTATGTTATGTACAATATATACATTTATAATATATATTTCTTTCATTCCAGTCATGCTCCATCCAACACTTGTCTTTAGCGATAAGACCGCCTTTTGTGCCTTTATACTTTAAATATTCTGTTTCCTTTTGTATCTGTTTTAAGTAGGATAATAAAGTTTGTATTATTATTAGTTGCATTTATTGCAACTAAAAATAAGAATAAGAAATAAAAATAAAATAAATAAGTCTTCATGGTAGCTCACTCAGATCTATTTCTGCCACCATGCAGCTTGTTTTCTAAGCTGTTTTTTAGTTGATAGGTGAAATATGGCAGTAAAATTATATAGTACGGAAGCATGAGTACCGTCCTTAGTCAGGAATATGATGGTGTCATATGATATAATGAGAGTTTAAAACGAGAAAGAGAAAAGAAAGAAAGAGAGTTTTACTTTTATAATGAATGACTTCAAATTCTTAATATACTTATTCAGTTCGAAATATTTCGTTAAATATATCAAAATCGACAATCTAATATATATAATTATATGTTCATTATATGTGTGTATTTAAAAATTGATAAATAATGCAACTGTTTGCGAGATTCTTTGGCAAGTTTTTGTGAGTAACACATTCTGGCTCCAGTTTTGCTGTATAAGATATGTTGTTACGTAAATTATTAAGGCTAAGGCTAAATCTAGTAGCTATAAATACTATTTTATTATATGTGTATATATTTTTTAAAGAATACTGTTACTGGAGCGGGAACACAACTACTATATTAATAAAAACTAAATACTAGTAAAAATGTGTATTCTCCTTCTTCTTTCTTAAGGGCTCACAGTGAAGGAAAGTAACAAAAAATATGTTAGTCAAAAGTGACATATATAAAATAGATATCAAAAATAAAAAGTTTATAAAAAGAATGGTAGACAAGCTGCCAGTACAAATACTATGGTTTACATTTTTTACATTTTGATTTGCACTATTTGATATACAATCAAAGTTAGGTAATAATTCTGATGAGAATAATATTCTAATAAGAAATAATAAAAAAATATTCTAATAAGTAAAATATATACATCATTATCATTTTACATTTATTTATTAGATAAATAGAATAGAAATAATTTTTATTTAAATAAACTTATATTAAACTTAAACCAAGAAAGAAGAATGGGGAAGAAATTTATCTGTGTCCATTTGCATTTTTTTATATTACGATGGTGGCAATGAAACATACGGCCCATCTGATGGTAAACGGTTATCGTAACCTTTGCACGCATGAAACATTGGGAAGTGTCTTGTGAGCGTTACTGACCCTAGAATTACTACCAAATAGTACAACCCAATTAATATATTGTTTATTAAATTTATAAAATGTCAAAATTGAATTTAAACATCATGTGTGTTATATAATAAATGAGTTTTGAAAATTGAATTGAAAAACCCTGAATGTATTTTTTCATAAAATGTCATTGGAATTTTTAGGAACTTTCAGAAATAAACTTTCACAAAATAAATGTTACAACTTAACCACACTTTGTAAGCATGTGCTTTATATTTTTGTGGTACTGCAGTAAATAAATTGATAAGGCGGAGTAAGGTCGCCGGTATTACAATAAATCTATCGAAAAAAAAACCCTTATTAGAATGCTATACGACTTTTTAATATTCAAATTAATTTTTTTTATATGCTATGTGTAGATATACACATAGCATATATGAAATAAATATTAATATTTTAAACGCGAAAGTATGTATGTCTGTTTGTTACTCTTTCACGCAAAAACTACTGAACGGATTTTGATGAAACGTTACAGTAATATAGCTTATACATCAGAATAACTTATAGACTTGTAATAAATAGGCTACCCATATTTTTAATACAAAATCAGGACATCGATTTTGTTAAAGAATTAGAAAACGTACTAATCTTTTGTAAACATAGGCTAAATTTACTAATTGGAATATGGCATATGTTGTATTAATTTCAATATACATTATGCTTCTTATATTACGTATTATTTTGAACGGAAACATTGATATAACTTGTACGTATCCTTGTGTTGAGACTACGGATAAATCTAAATATATATAACTCAAAGGTGACTGACGTAGTGATCTATCAACGCACAGCCCAAACGACTGGACGGATCGGGCTGAAATTTGGCATGCAGGTAGATGTTATGACGTAGGCATCCGCTAAGAAAGAATTTTGATTAATTCTACCCCCAAGGGGATAAAATAGGGGATGGAAGTTTGTATGAAACTTTGTCAATTTTAAACCGGGTGAGACTTTGCATGAATAATGCTACTAGCCCGTAGGAACCCCTAAGAAAGGATTTTGATAAATTCCACCCCTAAGGGGATAAATTAACGCGAGCGAAGCCGCGGGCAAAAAATAGATAGATAGAATATACTTTATTTGTAATACACAGTAAAGAAAAGACATAAACAATATATATTAAAACACATATATAATTGCAATAAGGCGGTTTTGTTCCTGAAAGTAATCTTTCAAGGCAACCTTGGGGAATCGGATTTAAATATCGAAAATGGAGGGAAGTAATATGCAAATAGGAGAAAAGTGAAACAAAACATACAAGTGATAAAATATATGTATAGTATGTCGACTAAGTAACTTATTAATATGTTATTTTTTTGGTATGCGTATTTAATTTTAGTAACTAGGGCAAGCGTAGAATATGACAACATGTCCCAAAAAATAGTCAGTTAATTACGCTAACTCTAGCGCATATTCGTTGTATAAATTTATTTTTACAAGATTGCGCGCCATTTTGTTTAATTTTTGTTAGTTTTTAAATTTGAATATAGAATCGTAACAGATGTATTTTTTAAAATAAGAATTTATAGGACAACGTTTTGATAATGCTATTCACGCATATATACGTAAATAAGTTGTTCTATTTTTAAAAGTATTGTTTGGAGGGAAAATATCCATCTAGATATGATACTGAAGAAATTACTATAACAGTTTTCCCTAACTAAGATATATTTGTGTACTGATAGTATAAAACATGTTTTACATATTTTAAAGATTCTTACCAAGTTTCATTGCATACAAATTCTAAAATCTTTAAATTTCTCGACTTATATACTATATTATAGCACCCATGTATTGTACATATAAACCTTCCTCTTGAATCACTCTATCTATTGCCGAAAACTGTATTAATCGATTCCATCCATTTAAGAGATATAAGTGATCAGATAGCACGGCAATTTTGTTTTATACTGTGTAAAGATTACAAACTATAAGAAATTATGAGAAGAGTCTCCAAAATACTTGATGCGTTGCATGTTTTACATACAATATATTCAATTTTATATGTTAAAAGATTAATTGTATTCTAATAGTATTCTAGTACAGGCATAACAGCTCAGTCCAGGGGGGGAAGGGGATTGTTAGTAATGTGGACTGTTGATCTTATTGCTAGCAATGTACCATGTCAGGTTGACCTCCACGCGGTTCCCCCTAGAAACCATCGTGATAAATTCTTGGTGAATTTGTCACGATGGGCTAACTGACCTGACCTCATGCTCATCTTATCATCCTCCACTGGTGCCCCGCCAGCGTAAACCGTTAGCGCAGGCGGGTGCACCATTCCATTATCATCCATAAAAAAAAAACCAATAGCTTAGTCCTCTAGAATGGCAATATTATAAAATTATTAAACAGCACCGTTTTATTATCAATATATATATAATATTATATTTTTATTATCAATATATATACAATTTTATGTACTAAAAGTATGTTTTATATTTTTTTTACAATAAGGTACACGAATGCTCTAAATATCTTCAACATATCTTATACATATTGGCTACTAAGGCTGTATAAAAGACTTCTTATTAGAGATCTTATTAGAAATAAAAAACCAATTCAAATAATTCCAACATCAAGTTTATGAATATAAATAAAAGGAAAACAAAGTTAAATTGATAAAAAAAAAATGGTTTTGCCATAATAGGAAAAGTCTATATTTAATTGCCCCAATTAACAAAATGTCCAAATCCGTAAACAGACTGACCCATCATTGTACGAAATCTGATAGAAAATGGAGTTCTTCGTAAATTGGTTGCTCAAACTGACCGACTTACACAAAACAGTCGAAAACTCTAGAGCATGTAACACTCAGTTTCCTTATTATATAGGTACCTATAATGTAAGAATTAATATCAAAGTTTTTTCCATCTAATTAACAGTACACATGTCTCATAAATCAAATGTATTACTGTAGACAATGGCTGTAATTATTCTGTTACATATGACAGCCGATTAACATGTTCCATGAAGCTAAAATTCACAACAATTATGTTACAATGAAATAACAAAACGTGTCCAAA